TTCCAACAACCACTAAGTATTCTGCTGAGCCTCGCTTTCCAAGGCAGTTGCCAACCTCTCTATGGAGACGGACAAGTGCATGCATGTTCAAACCAGCATGGTTCTGACAATGTCAATGAACTTATCTAAAGTTTGATCCAGTTTACCAAGTCTCTCTGACAAACCTTCCTGTTGATCCTTCTACTGTCGGTGCATTTTATGAAGCTACTAATGGTAGATACCATGGAGTCATCTTCTGCCTGTGATTGATCAGGTGCCTGGTCTCTGGCAGCCCTCTGAGTACCAGTGGTCTGGGGCATTTCTTCCTCAAGCACCTGTGGCATCCATTAGATTGTGCTCCCAAGTCTATTCTATGTAAAGTACCCACCAATGCGCGAGTCTCTGAACTGGTGGAGGATGCAGGAGTAAGACTTGCTAGTGCATCCTTCTTCAGGCTTGGAGGAGAATCTGTTGGCTGAGGGATTTGTCTCTCCATGGCAGAAGCTGTTTTGGTGCTGCTCGTGCCTGCATAGGAGAAGAGAATGAGTTGCACAATAAGGATAGTAGCTTGAGCAGCTTAAGGATATGTTTACAGTGGTGGTAATGGGAGAGTAGTGTATTACATTACAATGAAGCTCAATTGATTTCTCAACATAGACATATCGGCATCCCCATCTGAGCAGTGTCAATTTTTTCCAACTGGATCAAGGATTTTCTCCTCATAGAGGTTGAGGAAATGAATGTTCCTCATCATGCCATGCATCTCTGACCTTTTGTACTAGTTGTGAGACATTTTCTCCTGCAATGAGCTAAATGGAGGGATTGAGTGAAAGGAAACTGGCTAGAAGAGTTGTTAATTGTGATTCAAGAACAGGAGGTGTCTCACATGAATGAGTAGGAATTGCAGAAAGCAGGAAGGCTTAGTAACTTGGGAGGATGAGGTGGGTGGGAGCTATTGAGGGAAGATAATGCATGCAATATTGCAAGTGGTAGGGCATTAGTCTTGGTGGGAGATGTGTGCTGCAGCACAGTGAGGTTGAACATGAGGTAGCTGAGAGAAGATAGAGGACGTTCCTCTTTGTGGCGTGCAGAACGTCATTGATCTTCTTATGCCATTGCTGCACGTTTTCTGTGACTCTTGAAATGACACTGACCTGGGCAGCCATCTCCGTCCATTTTGGCTTCCTCAGATATTGTGCTTTCCATTGGCAGTCCTGAAGAAAGAGAACATCCCTCTACTCCTCCAATTTTCCAGTAGGACCTGCTGCTCCCTGCTTGGGGAACCTAGGTGCCAAATTGCTTTCTTAACCATATCCTCTCACATTGTGATCAAACAGCAGAAGGTCCCAGCAGTGATGAATGTTTCTGTCTCTGGGAGTGCACGATTCAAATAGAAAGATGCTATGGAGGCTGGATGTATAATTATTGAGGTGAGCAGTGGAAGGCTGCATGAGAAGAGTTGACATGGCCCATGGAGGGAAATCATTCATTAAACTGACACTCAACTAGAATTTGAGATAATTCAACCAAACGTTTTTTTACTTCTCAATTTCTGTTGGATGTCCTTCCTTATCATCTCTTTACTCATTGCATTACCTTCTAATATTCCAGCTGACATCAGTCTCTTTAATGTCATATGACACAATGCTGGGATTTGCATTATCCTAGGCTTTGGATGCATTCCTGACCAATTGTCCGTCCTGCCTACATCAACAGAAACTTGAATAGTGGATTATTGTTATGCTAACATCACCTGCCACTACAACAGCCCAAACCTATCCAAGAGAAAGTATCTTTCCTATTCAAAATGCATCTAATGTCAAAATTTGTCTGTATTGTTACCACATATACTCAATGAGATATCTGTACCTTTGCATAAAAGGAAACTATGTATTTATTTGAAAGCGGAACAGATTCCTGTTGTCACTACAGCAAGAAAAAAAATTTGGATTTGATTTTTAGTCTAAACTTTCATGATTAAACAGGCAGAACCCTGTTAGTTTTTGTTTTAATTGACAGAGACTTGAACGTCTTTGGGGTACTGAGATTGCATATGCTCTGAAGATCCAAAACCTGTGATTAATTCAAGCTCTGAGAATGGAAATCACAACAATAACCAAGGGATTGAGGCAGATGATTTTGTTTTTGGCATTGAGAGATGGCATAGATAAATTTAAAGGTAGTTTTTTTCATGATTGATTGACCTGTTATTTACTATGGATCAAATTTTAATTTGAGGGTATTTTGTGATGGTGGGCAATCATCATGGATACTTAAATGTATATATAGAGAACAAATCATTTTAGGTATGGAAATTAATTTTAAGATTCCATGACAAATATTCAACTGTACGTTCTTTTAGTAAGTATGAAATTTGAACTCATCAGTGTGCTTTGTGCACTTTGAACTTGTCGGACACTAGGTAAAGTATTTACCTCTATAGCTACATTGTCCAGAAAATATTCAAAGATATTCTGGAATTTTTGTCCAGTAACTTATGCATTTTGGCATTTTCCAACACATCCTGCTGCATTTTGGCAATTTGTGGGGAAAGAAAAAGCATTTGACCAGTTGCATCTCTTCAGATAATTCAACATCAAGTCAAATTTTCCCACAGCTTAATGAATAATGATTTAATACTAGAATCAAAAAAGCAACAATTTGGCAAGAATCCTTATGGAATACTATTCATGTTGCTTGTAAGATGTAATTCAACAGTGGTAAATGACAATTTAATTCTCAGCAGATTTGTTATTTGTTATCATAGTGTATGCCGTAAACTAATTTGTTCATGATTTAAGTGGTTAAATGATGTTTAGCTCTTGGAAAATTGAAAGTTGAAGCAGCATCAATATCCAATTGAACTGTTAACAGAATGTTCTTACCATCCAAAATAACCATATTCTTCTAAAATGAATATACAATTCATTGCAGAAATGCAATTGGATTTCAGAAAATGGTGCCCATCAGGAAATGAGTACCAAATACGTGAAGTAAAGGCAGATATGTAAAATCAGTAAAACAGCTTGGGTCAGGCCTTCAAGATGTGCCCAGATGTGAAACAATACTACATCATAACTCGAATAAAGTGTGAAATGTTGATTGACTTATGAACGTTATCATTTATAATGGTAGCAAGATACCAGATGAAAAGCACAAGATTAAAAAAGTTAAATTGCCAGGCCAAGAATTGTGTAGTCCACTGTATTCTGTAGTTTGTCAATCAAAATTAGACTTGTTGGTCATAGTATCTGGGATTTTTGAGTTTGTTACAGAGCGTTTTTTTCTTAATTACTCAGGTTTGGGTTTAGAGGATTGCACATAATGCAAATTGTCCATATTCTTAAACAGGGAAAATCTTGGAAATATTCTTGCAGGAAAATAAGGCTGTAATATCAATGAGTTCATCTTTCAGTGAAAATTCAGATTGCCATTAGTCAGTCAATAAACAATGTTTTGTTTTACGGAACATTTAAAATATCTGACGTTGATTTTTTTTCTGGTTATCTGACATTGATAGTCTGCATTGGCATCAAGTTCATAGTGGTTGTATATGGCATCAATAGCAATGTATTAATCTGTCCATTTGTTTTAATGAATTGTAGTCAACAATGGTCCTCTTGGTTCAATTTCCAAGCCAAAAAGCATCATCGCCATGTTCCTGAAGAGAAGTCTGTTATACTGTATTTAGAAATTCTATTCCTATGTAAATGAAAATCCTCATGTTGACGTTTTTCCATGTTATACGCTTTAACAAACTTACTTATGAAAATAAAATGAGTGAAATGTCATTTACCGCAATAATGGCTTATATATGCCAAAACGGACAAGACCAACTGCCAGCTGTTAGTTAGTCCTGAGATATGCAAAAATGTAGCTTCCCTATCAATTTTTGAATGCTATCCCAAATCAATGTAATGATTGCTGTGTTGGATATCAAGCGAACCATCAAGCTTTTATGTTAATAATTTGGAGTAGATTACTTTGCATGCTGAGCATATAAATGTTTCCTGATTTGTAGTGATTATAAGCTAGCACCACAGTTACAAACAACTGTTTGTATAGTCTTCCTCTGATCTGCGGTAGTACTGATCAAACTGTTCGTGGAAGAGAGTGCAAACTCAGTTGCTGTTTTGACAATGTCATATGATGTACTCTTCAGGCTGATTGAGACAACTTCATGGGGGAACAAGGACATAAGAAGAGTTGCAAATAGAGGATGCATCAACGCAGTGATTCCAGCACAAATATTCAATGCTTCCTGCAATTTTCTTCCATGTATTACATGTCCAAAAAACAATTTATGAGACACTAGCCAACAGGTATAGTATTGATGCTATCAATTATCAATGCCTGATTGCCAATTGCAAATAATATTCTGTCATTTACACTGTGGATATCTAAGAGTATGTTTGAAAAAGATGATTAAAATGTTTCAGAAAACAGATTTAACTGAGTTTATCTCCTAAAGGTTTGAATTTATTATAATCTAATGAATCACGTAACTCTTCAAACAATTACAATTTCTTTAGAACACAAATTCTATACAATTTCACCTAAGTAATGAAACTATTGTAAAATTATGCAAAAACAGTACACCTTGGGAATTGAAGTCTAGGATTTTTCTAACCAAATTTAATTACATTATACTTATTCCATGTGACTCTTGTGAAAGGAAATACAGAACCTTAAATGTTTGATATGTGGTTAGGTATTACTTTGATTTTGCATTGAAACAAACCCAATTGCATTGCTCAATTTTGATTCCCAAATTGTTTCAGTAACATTTTTCGGAGTATTTTTGAGCAAGATCTTCAATGATGTGACCCAATATCAAGCTATCTGGTATCAATCTTTTTCCCCTTGTTGCGTCAAAAGGCTGAGATGCCTGGTGAAACAAATGATTGTGAACACATGATCACTAAAAGAAAAGATGCTGGTATCTTTCAGTTTAGCTCAAACACTTCCAGCATAGACGTTTCACAATATGAAAACATATTAAAAAGAATCATAATTCTTACCATAGCACCAAGATATTGAGATGGTCTCGAAGAAAACAAGAAAGAGCAAAGACATTCCGCTAGCAGAGTAGTAGTCAAAAAGCTTAAAGACATACAGACCACCCTGGAGGAAGAAAATGATAAGACATTGCTTAGATAACTTTTAATATTTAAGTCCTTATGATACTTCAGCATCCCTTAATTGTGCACAGTTGTGGATTACATTTGGCATCCTAACTACATCATTTAATTGACCTTAAATATAAATGATGTATTAACTATCCTAGCAATAGGTGCTTCTTGGATAATTCTGATTAAAATTAAAGCCTGTAATATGTGCAAAACTTTGGATCACATAAATAAAGTTGACGTGATTTATTTTATACACTATACCTGACACATTTTAAACATGCTTTGACAAAGCTTAAATGCCTACCTCTGTGGTTGCATGCATATTCTGCAGATGCCTCCGCAGTGTTTAAGCATAGACACATTATTAACTCTATATACTCATTCTTAGTGACGAACAATGATTAATGGTCATCAGTATTCTGATTGTTTATCTCTGCAGTATTTCTATCAGACAACAACTTCAAAGGAATTATACTCCTACTAAATTTTATTCTTCAAACATTTCAGTTTTTAAGTTAAGCAATTATATACAGTCTTGATAACAAGTTACTCATTGAAAATGCAGTAAAATAGATTTGCCAAGTCAGTTATGACTAATTATGCATACTTATATAATTAGTTGCCATATAGTTATACGACAATTCTGTACTAAATATATATTCTATTATAATCAAAATAACTCAATTCAAATATCAATACTAGCCTGTTTGTCCCAACTATAGCAAATACAACATACTATTTTCTTGATGAAATTTCGTTTGGGCATTCAAAACTTAATTTTCTCAATGCTCTTTGCTACAATTAGAATCAGAAATCAGTGATAGGAAACATTTAAATAGGAGATAGAAAGAGGACAAACTAGGTACATTACAGTGAGCAAAAATGAGGAAAAAGATTGTCCTGTCATGAGTTCTGATCTATGTGATGAATCTATATATCACAAATTGGAGTACCATGGATGAATAGGGAGGTTATATAAAGTTTTAAAATAAAGGAGCAGAAAATAGTGTTGCTCAACAAGAGCAACTTGAATGAGAACATTTCAAAATTAAAAGAGGATCAAAGATCTCTTGCTGTGGCTCACTAACAAGTGAATAAAGCCAAGAAAAGACAAATAGAGCACTTGGTTTTATATCCAGGGGCACATAATCCAAAAGCAAATAAGTGATGTTAATTTAATGCTTATTGATGAGACCCTTTTGGAGTATTGAGTAGAATTTTAGCCACGGTTACAGGAAGGATTTAAAAGTTATTGAAGAAATTCAGGGTAATTTTACTAGGGGAGCATATTGGAGATATGGAGAAAAACTTAAGAACTTAGGGCCTTTCACCGAAACTGAGAAGGTTGAGGGACCTGAGCAGGATCTTCAAGATTATTAAGAGTTATGATACAGTAAATCCTAGTAATTGTTTCCATTGATCAGTGTATGGAAACAATGTGGAATAGATCATTTCTGTTCTGTACATTCTAAAATGAAGCCTAATGCATTTACTTACCTTTGGTTTCAAAATCTGGCTTATGCTTTTGAATGTTTTATATACAGATTTTTTTAATGTGAGATATTGCTTAAAGCTTTCGCTGCACTGCCTTTGGTTCTGAAATCTGAACTCTGTATCAAATCTTCACATATTTGAACTAAATATATTAGATATAAGGCGAAAATCATGTCTCTACATTGTCCAAATCTTGACATTAGTCTCAGAAGAACAAATGGTATTCTACAAATGCAGTGTGACTACATCCATATAAATATCATTGTTAGTCACTAACTGACTAAACACAACCAATTTATGTATTCTGAACTTATACCCATTAAGGAATGGATTAAGAAAATACAAACACATTTTATTTTGAATCCTCATGGGAAGGGAAATTCTTATTGCTCATTCTGAACCAGTTAAAAGGCAGTTTAATAATTCTCTACAGATCCAGTTATACATTTAAAACTAGCCTAAATCTAAATTAATATAAGTAACATTTATTAATTTTGACAATTAATTAATTCTTTATTAATATCACAATATTTAAATTAATGTCAATAACCATCTTATGATATTTTCAATTTATATCACAACTGGGTAATCTCATGGTTTGTGGTTCAGCTATTCACGTTTTAGTGGATAGAACTTTCTGAGATCCCTTGTCTTATATATTAATGGACAGAAGAATTGCAGCAAGTCTTCCTGCTGTTTTGAAGGCCAATGGGACAAAGCTCTAAGAATGTTATGCTATTTGATTCATTCATCAAGTGAAACTGTTACTTTAGAAAAAGTAAAGTGGTACAGATTTGGCAAAACAATTAAGTCTATATTCAGGATTTGTTATTTTTATATATTTATTTAAATTTGAAATAATCAATGCAAGGCTTGCCACAGAATTGTTTATTTGAAATCAGATGATACACATTTTATAATGATACCGGATAAAGTGTTGCCTCTTTAAAATGGGAAAGTTGAACTGCAGTGACTAAGAGATAGTGATTCAGTTAGAGATTAATTGTTATTTGTGAGATAAGTGGGAAGATTGCCCTGATATGCACGTGTTGCAGGTAGCATGCTGGAGTGTTTTAATGGGGTCTTTAAGTTCCACTAATTATACAGCTCAATGGCAATACAAAGGATGCAATTGTATGGTGCATACTCTATTTGTCCGTTAGATTTTCAGGTGAAGTCTTACATATTTAATAGGAATCCAACTTTAAAGTAAAAGTGAAAGGAGTGGGCACTCATTGTCAAGTCAAAGGTATTCACAGAATATTATTTTTAACCAATCTGTTATGATACACCTCTGTGGCAGGTGGGATTTGAAACCAGACCTTTGACCTAGATATGGGAGCCCTACCACTGCAACACAAGAGCCCCTTGTCACTGTCACCATATGAAGTGCAGCAATAAACAAGGATGTGTAACCCAATGACATTTTTAAGTTGCTATCCTATTTACATTGAATGGTTGAAATTAAAATTGACTCTGTGATATACAATAGATCAGAAATTTGTGAAAAATATAAATTTCATACATGAATGTTGCAGACTTGCTTTGTTTAAGCTGAGCCAATATCGTAGTTGAAACAAACACCATTAAACTATCTGTTGCTCTTTCAAATGAAAATCAGCTATATCTAGAAATTTCATCTTTAAAATCATTTCATTGGAATTATTGTAATTTACCTGGGTAATGTTGGAGAGTCCTATCAAATATGAAATAACACAGACTGCCGCAATGAAAATTTCTCTTCTTCCTCGTAGCAATTTGGGAAACTCGTCCACCAAAGCAGTTATAAAGCCTTCCACAGTGCAAAACTAAAAATGAATGAGTATTAGTGCTTCTTAATTAATTAATTTTGCTGTTAGACTGATTAAGCCCTTGTTTGGAATCAGCAGTAGCCCAGGTATAAATGCAAAACTTATTTACAAATATAAAATGAAAGACACCAACTTGGGTGTTCCCCTATTATCAAGTCATTAATCATCATAGCTTTTTGACAGCAATATTTTGGAAATTAGTTAGTAATCTGCAGAGGAGTGCATTTTACAAATGGCAGAGTTCTGAGTAGATAGGATAATAAAGAAAAAATTCTGGAGGAAATATTTCCTTTGTTTCAATCCAATGTCTCCCTTTAGTTTTCCTAATGTTTCAACCTCATTTTTATTTACGATTTATTTTTTCTTTTGCTTCCATTGAGTTGCAGTATGTTCTCTAAATAAGCTACTGATCTTTAAACTTATTCTACTGTTAAAGTACTTTTTCTTCTCTTTTAATTTTCCCCATTTTTTACACAACTTAATGACTATCCCCAACAAAACACCCTCCAAGCAAAACTGTGCAAAGCTGCAAATTGGTTATATAGCATTTGTATGACAAGTGGAGAGAGATGTTCTGAGAAATATGTTTATATAGGAAAGTGAGCTCCCTACTGTTATTTTCTGATGTTCTCTAAATTTTATACCTGGTTTGACATGTTATCTGGAAACCTTGGTCTGTGCCTAGACAATGAGAGGTGATTAAGACTAACTGAAGGTTGATTTGCTCCTCAGACTCCTGGAAAGGTTTCAATTCTTCATTCAACTTCTTCTTCTGCTAGCACCTGAGTTAGGCAACTCACTGCATGAAGAGTGGCACATGTAAATTTCCATCTAACTACTCCATTATGTACTCAATGTGTTGGTATATGAACCTACTGCTGAAAAATCAAGGTACAAAGTTCAGCAGGAGCAATATCAAACAATACGAAAAGAAAAAAAATGCAACTTAAATTCTATTTTTTAAATGTTTATTGTCCATTTATTATTAAATTCATTTACATTAAAAATCTAGAGGCAAAACAATTTTATTGTCTGATTTGTAGTTGAATGTCCAGTATACTTTCCTACATGAATACTGGCAAATGCTAGAAAAAGATTGCCTGTCTCAATCACTCTTGCTATTAAATGTTGACCAAGTTGCTGCATTTGCCATCCGCAAAGTCTGTCTCTTCTTACCTCAAATGGAACCTTTTCAACCAGTGTACCAAGCATGAATTTATTTAGACTGTTTTTACAGCACAGTTTTCAATGGAAACTTAAATTGAGAAGAGAACAATTCTTCACATTGGCATATTTAGACAGACTAGCTTGGACAACTGTTGACACATAAAGCATTGACTTTGCTAAGAAATGCAATTTTTATTACAGCTCTTCATCCTAGAGATTGCAGCAAGAACACAGCCAGGGGCTAATCAGTAGCGTTACCCATAGCAACAGGAGGCTGTTCAGTGCTGTTGTGTGGCTGAAGCAAGGCTTAGATATGTCTGCACCTGTCAGACACAATCAGTAAAGGCACTCTTGGTGTTTATCCTGCTAAATCATTAGATTCACACGGAATATTTCAAGCAAATGGTAGGATGCATCTCTGACTCAGCCAAGCAGCTCTACATTTTAATTCTGTGTTGTAGTATTAAATGCAATCAACCTGATTTTCATTGGGTGTAAAGTGGTGCTTCTTTACTGTAAATATAACCATTCAAAATTGTCCAGATAGCATACCTTTAAACATTTAATTGCTTGAACAAATGTTAAGTGTTATTAGTAACAACTGTTCAGAACACGAATTAGGAAGATGTACAAAGATTCTCGTTGCACTTCCATTTATTTTCCAAAATGTTAATGAACTGGAATTGATTTTTCAAAAAAAACCCTGAAAATTAACTCTATTCAAAAATGAGCAATCAACAATTCTTATTACTGACCCAACAGATATAACAATTCTCAAAGGACTTGGGCTGAAACGTACCTGGCTGTCAATCCCAAGCATCAGTAACATCGAGAAGAAAAGAATAGACCACAGTGGAGATATTGGTAATTGCGTCACTGCCTCGGGGTATGCTAAAAATGCCAGACCAGGACCTTTGAAAATAAAAGAATGTGTAATATTATCTGCCTTACTTTCAAGATCAAACATATTTATGTGATTAAGAATATATATGTTCTAGCATAATTTTTGTGATCTAACATTCAGTGTGGGCACACACTGTTAAAATGAAATAAAGGCTTTAGAAAGAATTAAATGAAAGAAGACTGACTGTTCGCAGACCACATACAGATTCTGATGAAGACTCAAAGTTCATGCCAAGGAAAGGAAAGTACTTTTAAACTGCAGAAAAAAACTATAAAACTTTACAACCCATATTATTCTCTAGTGGCTTCTTAGCTATTTTCTATCTGATGTGATATATTTCAAATGATTGTTAGGGAATTCACTGGGAACCATGTACTATAACTAATTGGACATTGCACCTCATTCAAGACTTCCTAAAGAAAACCATTACATCAGGCCCTCTATGTCTGAATTCAACACAATAGCTTACAGGTACTGAACACACATTCACCCTGACAGATTTAATACACATCTGAGATTGGTGACATCGCTGAAATAATAGCAATAGTATTAATTTCAGATTTGTAGACTGAGATCTTTAGGTCCTTCCAGAAGCTTAGCAATAAAATGTATCTGAAAATTTCAACTCCACCTTTTGTTATTCTATTTTCACTTGGTCTTCTTGCATTAAAGGAGTGTTTCCCTTCATTTAACTCATTTGCAAAATCTGCCATGTGGCATTTTTAGGTTTAGTTTTATTTACATGACAGCATCACGAGGTCAATGCTGGTTGTTGCTTCCAAGATCCACATGCCAGTGTTGTATCTCCACATGCTATTTGACATGAAGAATTGTGCAGGAATGACACGTTTGGAATTTGTCTACCTCGTTGAGATAAAACAACGCACATTTTGCAATTTCAATGTAGCGCCTTCATTCACTGCGGCATTATGGACTCTAAATTTTAAGGTTCAACCTAATATCAGGGCTGTCGATAAAGGTTGTCCATTGTTATACAAGCTAGGTCTTGCCTTCTGGATATTACTGAAGACTTCCAAGTCTATGATCCCCGCTTCGATAAGCAATGGTGTCCCGGATTTCAGTGCAATATTCTTAGAGTTGATGAAGGTTGAGGAGCATGTGTTCAGACAGATAGAACACCTCCAGCTTCTTCAGATTGATTAATAGGCCAAACCGCTTCACCAATATTTTGTGAAAATGGACTCCAGCAAATTGTCGTCTGCGTGAGCAATAGTAAGAGCGCTTAGATCAGAAAACTACATCCTCTTCCGTGACACAATGAAGATGACATACCTATCAGAGTAGACTTTATCCCATTGGGCTTGTTGCCATTTGTTGAGAAGGAGCTGCATAAACCAAGACTTGTCCTTTCCTTGAGTATTTATACGATGAGGGATGGAAGAACAGGAGGGCAAAATCAGAAGCTTATTATTTTATCACCGGAGGTCAAAAACCAGGTCACCCGATGTCGCTTTTCGTGGGCGGGTAATGGGGAAATCGTAGTATCTTGTCTACAACGACCAACATTCACCGGCATCAGAATTGGCACCAAGGATATTACCCGCGCCTTTGTTGCTCTAAGAGAATCAAAGTGGGTCTAAATGTACACATTGGAGGTGAGGTTACCCTGTGAAACAACGTAAACACGCTGTAACATACCTGAAGCAGCCACGTCCGCAATAGACTTCTTTGTCACATGTGCCATAAAGCCCACGATGGAGAAAATAACAAAACCGGCAAACATACTGGTGGTGGAATTTATGCAGCAGACGATAATTGCGTCCCTGAAATAAGGGAGAGATTAAAAAAAACATTGCTTTTGTCTTTAAAGGTTGTAACATTTATTGTAACCAATAGTATTGAGGTGGACGTGAATGGAGCGATGTCATGCAATAGCGGAAGCTGGGCTCCCGCTTGTGATTCCACAAACTGTTACTGATATGTCAGATCATATGAAATCATATCATCTGGGAGGACAGCATACCTCGACTGGCTCAGAAGGGGTCTCAATATCAAAGGTCACTGTGTGCATCCAAATAGTCGGTACTAGCAATGGTAAAGACTGGGGAACAAGTCATTTAGCTGCCTCCTGTCCTGCAGTTAGCTCTTGGAATAGTTTTATCTTAACTGTGAGGTAGTTGGAAATAAGAATTCACTGATAATTTCAGATTGGCTGTTTTCTAACAGGTCTTCACCCGATTCAATGAAATAGATTGGGGAGAGTAAGACGCAGGTATATGCAGCTGCCAATAACGCAGAAGCCAAATCCAACCCCAAAAGATTGAGGTCAGTTTGAAGCGAACATTATAACAGTTTATCGTTATAATAACAATTAATCCAACATGGTAAACCAGCGATGGATGTGTATTAAGCACTGATGTTAAAGATCCAATTTTCTCAAAGCATGCCCTCAACAGCTTTTTTTTTAATAACGTAGTCCAACTAGCCATAACGAAGTGAGACAGTCATGTATTAGCGGGGCAAACAAAACATCGGGACTTCGCTTCCACTGGATTTAACCTTATTGCACTAAAGATATTATTCCACCTCACAGGTTATCCAGAAGATTTACCAGCGTGTTTTCTGAGCTGCAAAGTTTCCACTAGAAGATAATGTTGGACAGGATAGGAGCGTTTTCGTTGGAAGCGGAAGCTAAAGGAAGATCAAACTGAATTGTGTAAAATCATGAGCAGTTTGGAGTCACGGAGTCATCGAGATGTACAGCACAGAAACAGACCCTTCGGTCCAACTCGTCCATACCTACCAGATATCACAAATTAATCTAGTCCCATTTGCCAGCATTAGGCACATATCCCTCCAAACCCTTCCGATTCAGATACCCATCCAGATGCCTTTTAAATGTTGTAATTGTATGAGACTCCACTACTTCCTCTGGCAGCTCATTCCATGCACGCATTATCCTTTGAGCGAAAAAGTTGCCCCTTAGGTCCCTTTTAAATCTTTCCCCTCTCACCTTAATCCTGTGCCAGCTAGTTTTGGACTCTTCTACCCTGGGAAAAGACCTTGGCTATTCACCCTATCCACAGTCCCTCATGATTTTATAAACCTCTGTAAGGTGACCCCTTCGGTCTTACGCTCCAGGGAAAATAACCCCAGCCAATTCAGCTTCTCCCTATAGCTCAAGCCTTCCAGCCCTGGCAACAGCATTGTAAATCTTTTCTGAACCCTTTCAAGTTTCACAACGTCCTTCCTATAGAAGGGTGACCAGAACTGAACACACTATTCCAGAAACGGCCTCACCAATGTGCTGTACAGCTGCAACATGGCCTGTCAAATCCACACTCAATGCACTGACCAATATAAGCAAACATGCCAAACGCCTTCTTCACTATCTGTCAACCTCCACTTTCAAGGAACTATCAACCTTCACTCCAAGGTCTCTCTGAGTGAAGAAGAACACCCTAGTGTCCCTGGTTTAGAACTTCAGAATTAAGCGATCATTGATTTAGATAAAAGAGGTTGAGAGGGGAATTTTCTCACCCTTTCAAAGGAGGATAGGCAGAAAGCCTCATAACATTTAAAAATTACGTGGACACTCATTTGAAGTGTCGTAATCCACGAGGAAATGGACGGGAGCTGGAAGATGTGAAGAGAATGGTGATTTTGTTTTGGTGGGCGCACAGTGGGTGGATGATCTCCTTCACTGCTGGAACATTCTCTAAACTTCTACTCTGTACACCATTGAAGCAATTTGGGTAATAGTTCATGGACTTATTCCCAAGGAAGGGGTGATTCAACAGACTCTGTGATAAAATGAATTATCATCAAGAAGGGGACACCCCTCCTTCGGGAGGTGGCGGTGAGATGGGGAGAAGGAAATGCTAATAGTAAAATTCGGCTCAAGATCATATTTTCACAACAGCAAAAGAGTCATGAAGTTAGAACTGGAGAGATCGGTAAAAAAACCACAATCGCCAACAGACAATTTGTATTTTTAAAAGGAAAGCATTGTAGGGCAATGGGGAAAGAGAAGAGTGAGAAGTTCTTGTAGAAGGCTGTTTTAAAGGGCTGCCACTGGCACAATGGGCTGAATGGTCTCCTCCTATGTGGCGTGATTCTGAGTCCATACCAGTTTGGGTTTTTTTTTTAGTGAAGAATGACGTCAGTAATGTGCAGTCCATAAGATGAGAGGTATAGGGCAGGATTACCTGTAAACATTGTTGTGGAAGGTGTTGTAGCTTCCAAGCGCCACCAAAGAACCAAGACCCAGGCCGTAAGAGAAAAATATCTGTGTGGCTGCATCCAACCATACCTGAGAGATAAATTGTCCAGGCAGTAAATGATAACTATTGTGCTTTCATTTCTCTCTTTATAGGAACCGCGAGCATAACAATGGCCGTTGACATACCTCTGAGTCTGAAAGGCGGCTGAAATCGGGGGTTATATAAAATAAGATTCCTTCTCGAGCTCCAGGCAGTGTTACTCCGCGGAAAAACAAAATGAGCAGCATAACATAGGGATATATTGCTGAAAAATAAACTACCTGTGGAAAGACATGAGTGTTCAAGATTATGGAAAAGTTTGTGTTTCTTTTAACATACTTCATCTACATCAGGATTTGATTCATAAATCTTTCTATTGCTACGTTTTAAAAGATTACTACTAGGATTCGTGCAAACTATGTCACTGTGTGTGTTTATTGTGGGGACATTTCCTTCAAATATTAATCCTGTCGTGATGTCTTTATTGGATTTATTTCCCTGTTCATTCTAGTAGGACACTTTTTTTTGTAATCCCATTGAGAAGACAACTCTTAGGTCTAGGAGGAAGAGAAAAATTGGAATTTATAAAAGATATGCACACCGCATTTATTAAAACTAACGATGGCGATGAGCGGGGATCCGGGATCTAGATGTGATCAAGGATGTTTGGATTGTTTCCAAGCTCTGAAAATTTTCACTGCCAATTTTTAATTTATCTTATACCCGCTGCACAGAGAATGGCTGCTTTTAACAAAATCCTTAGAGCTTTCAGAGCGACAGGGAGACAGACCACTGTTGTCAATCGCCGTAGTTTAAAAAAAAATCAACACGGGCTCGATGGGCCGCTTGGCTGCCTTGGACACCCAATGTGTTTGTGGCGCGGTGGTAGTGTCCCTACCTCTGGGTCAGGAGTCCCACCTGTTCCAGGGGTGCGTGATAAGAGCGGGTAGATTGTCAATATCTAAACCTGGCCACTCTCTACATGTTCCAAATGGTCAGCGGAAGGCATGGAGGAAGCATTGAGGGCTAATGATTTCGTGTCTCAGCTGAGAAGCTAATGCCATCTGGTTGCAGTTAGTTCTTAGTGCCCCCGGGGCTCACTAACGACGCTGGAGAACTGTTCTCTTTCAGTAAACAATCACTTTACCTTTCCTGTCCAGCTGACGCCTTTCCAAATACAAAAATATACCAGAATCCAGGCGACGGCCAGCGTTATTGCAAGAGGAGATCGGATTTGTCCAGGCTGGTCCAGTCCATCTGTTAACTGGTGCATGTTTCGTCTGTGAATATAGTTATGCGTATCTCAATAATATGTTTCATCATTGACCTACCATTTCTGTAACAGTTAAGTTTAATTCGCAATGTTAAGACCAAATTAAAATCCAAACATGTAAAAGCAATCTTACTCCCAGAATTCCACAATGGGGCTGGTGATGTTAGTGGCATTGGTCATACTGTAGTTTGAGAAACAGCTCTCTGTGTTCCAGATGTTACCACAGCTTTGCCAAGGAAGTTCCTGGTTAGGATAAAACACGGTACAATTATTTTTCGTTTCTCAACAGCTAACCACTTGAACCTGGCATGATCACCAACGAATCTTTCCGGTTTGCAGCCTTTATTTTCTAGTTCATTCCAAACTACCTCCCCAGATCCCCTCAGTTGTCAGTCGCTGCTTCCCATCCTTGTTGACAGCTTTAACATTGCCATACGGGACCGTGGTAGTGTCACCACCTCTGACGCCAAACGCTCTAAGTTCAAGACCCACCTACCGCCCAGATATTTTACGCCATGTTCGAACAGGTCGATTTAAACACTAATTCGCGGTGTTTGACCGCCGAGGTACTTCATGTTCTAGGTCCACAGTATAATTAACAGCCAAGAGAATTGAACTCGACAATAAACAGAAACAACTTACTGATGTGAATGAATTATACAAGTAATAAATGGCCCAAGCAATGATGACGACGTAGTAGATGTTGAGCCAGAATGAGAGGACTGCAGCAGCCAGACCTACGCCTGCAAACACAAGAGATATGGCGAAATCCGACATGTTAATCAGAGCAGGTCTCACACAACAGGTTGTACCATTCACGCCTACAGTGTGAAGAAGCCTGTTAACCAAAGCGGCCGCGCCGGACAAGGGCCAACAGTATGAAATACCTGTACACAGTCTTATTGTCATCGGGAATAGCTTCTGGGAAACCGTAGGTGTTTGTGGCTGACTTTTTCTCTTTAGCTCAAACTATACTGGCTCCAGCGATTGGAATGTGTCACTGAGAAACGAACATCAACACTTTGTGTGCAGGCTTTAAAACAATAAAGACTTCAAAAGTAAACCCAACAGAGTGGCTTGGAAGCGGTGACGAAAGCATTACTGCCGCCGCTCTTACAGAGAGAAATCACTCCTACTGAGGTTGCAATGCTGCTAAATAGAGAACACTGAGCTAGAAAAGAGCGGTAGAGTGTATCTCTCAAGAGCAGCGCTGTGTTTGATTTCTACATACTGACCAGGCGCTCACGCCGATGCTGCAGACCGTACCTTTGAACATTGGCGCCAGTCTCCAGATACCCAGTCCACCGACAGATGTGTATTGGCCCAACGAGCATTCCAGGAGGAAGATTGGCATCCCAGCAAAGATCAGGGTCAAGAAGTAAGGGATGAGAAAGGCCCCTTTGGAGAACAGTGAGCGGGATTTTAGATATTGATGGGAAATAGGAGACCTCTTAAATAAGGATCTGGCTATATACAGATGCTTCAGAAATAACGTTACATGAATGAATTGACCATGCCAATTGGTACACAAATCAACCCGATACAATACGTTGAATTATTTTCCCGCCCCTAAACGATGTATTGGATTATATATACCTGAAATTGACTGAAATATACCTGAAATTTTACATTTTAAAAACAATGCAGAATTGCATATCTGGCAATATTCTATACGACACAAAGCTGTTGATATTTGATGCAACATTGACTTTGTTGCCTACAATTCAAATCCAGGAGTGATGGATCATTCCTCTTTACGGTTTAAAGTACTGGTTTATTTATTATGAAGTGAGTATTTTTGTTTACCTCCACCGTTTTTCCCACAAAGGTAAGGAAACCTCCAGACATTTCCCAGACCGATGGCATATCCAATGCAGGAGAGCAGGAAGTCAAATTTCCCTCCCCATTTCTCCCTCTCGGGGATGGTTCTGGTCTTCTGCACCTTCACCACCAGAGTTTTCGGCTTGTCGTTGGAGGTGGGCGCCTCGTGGAGCTCGGTGGAAATCTGCCCGTCCGGGGTCTTCGCGCCGTTGCTCGCCATCCCTTTCAACTTGGGCGCCGAACGTCGGGGAGTTGGTCGGAAATTTTCAGCACCGGACCACGTGGAAAGCAGCTTCGCGGTTCTGTCTGACCAGCTCAAGGGGAGAAAAGCTAATCAACTCAGATCCTAGCGGTGGGAGAGAACTCGGGGAGGCGGGACAGAGGGGTCGGACGCGATGGAGGTGAGCAGCCAGACTGAACCAGACCGAGAGAAGCTGCAAAAGAGATAAGGAAACGCAAGGCTAGAGAGTAGGTAACAACAGAAACAACCAAAGGCACGTGTTTCTCACTCTGGTTTTGCTCGTGTTGATGGAACTGGGAGACATCACGTCATGTTAGAGTTTCTCGGAAATCGATAATCACAGCACAATCCGCGCTGATCTTCCTCCAGCATAATGTCACCCCAACTCAACATCGTTTCCCATCTATGGCTGCCTACTAAAGATAACGTGAAACTAACACCATCTGGCTACAGCATCGCCGATCACCGTCCACACGCCCACAAATCTGTCCCTCACTGCCGTCTACACATTCCAAAAGTGCCCCTTCACTCCGAGCACTGTGTAGGTTCCTCGCAATCGACTTGTCGCTTCCTTAATCCCTGTGCATTCTCCTGGACATTCCCACAAAGTGATAGCGGTTACATTTATGCAGAGCCCAGTCACAGCTGCGTGAACTCGGGGAGCCTCGAGCTCTGACATTTACTTGTCAATCTGCCTATTCCTGATATGGGTAAAAATATCCCTTGTCGCTTTGAATTGGTGAATGTAAAAAGATCGCCAGCATAACACTACCCCCTCCCTCCCCCAACCATCCTACTCGCTGCTGAATTTCTGGAGACGAAGTCGCCTCAAACCTGGTGTCTGGACTCTAATGTCTTAGAAACAGAAATCAAATTCCCACACACACAGGTACATTCTGGTACATTCAAAGTTTTCTTAACGGTATCCACGTATAGGGAAGCTATCGCTACATAGCAGCACAATGTGGCGCGGATTCTTTCAAATAAGTGCGATTTTTGTTGTGCTTCAAGTCAGCTCGATTCAATTCAATTCAATTTAGCTTTATTGTCATCTATAGCTATCTGTTACTCCTCCCACCCCCTCTCTCTTTTCACACATACATATCTGGAGGTGTTATAAGGATCAACCATCCACTTACTGATGCACAGCGCGGGCTGAGCCCGTGTTTACTGCTCGAAGTTGTCCTTTGCTCCTGTTGAAGACCAAGTCTTTGTTGTTGCTGCTGGTTTTCAGTGTTTGCGAGCCCCGGAGCTCAGAACAATGGGCGCATTCCCTGTCCGACAGTGTGCTGCTGTGGATGTGCTGCTGCCAGTGCACGGCTTTAGCTTCGCCGAGCGGAGAGAAGCGGATGGGCAGGGAGCAGAAGGGATGACACTCCCGCGCAACTCTCTCTGCTCCCTCCAGCGACAACGTAGCGTGCGGCGCCCAGCCTGCTGCCACACTCATCTACACAGCGTCAATGTCATCTCAAAGTCACATCCACTGAGAGAGCAGTGGGCTTCGCTTCGCTGGCCCCTTCCCCCTCCTAACCCACCCCCTTTTCGCTCCAGCTGCAATTGGTGCTTGCTGGCTACTTCAAAACATGCTAACACTGTGCAGAGGCTACACATGATGGGCTGTAGGAGCGCCAAGTGGGAAGTGTTAGCATTTTTAATAGGGCGGCACTTTATTTTGAAGATTGAATTCTGAACACTTCCACACATGACATAGTAACACACACCGCTGATGCTTCTCCAGTAATACCAACAGGAACTGCTTCCTAACAATTGGAATATTGCGATCTATTCGAATGAACGTTCAAAATACACAACTGGGATGATGTGACAACAGTATTTGCACTTCGTTTGCTTAACTCTTTGTAAGAGTGAAAATGAACAATTAAATGAGAAAATGGTCGTATTTGTTACGATTCACATCTAATATTCCAAACACAAAACAAGATATTAATTACATGGCGACAAGAAACAAGAGGTCAGAAGGGTTAGCGAGTGAGACTGGGCCTAATTTGAATGAAGGGATGGGACAATTTACCTTGTCCTCAGGGCAAGAAAAGTTTCGGTCAATATAAGGGTACAAAACACAGTCTCCCAGTTACAAAGATAACTCCCCAGAGCGATTAAAAAAAATAAACATAAAACGTCAAGTTCTGTGTGAAAAGCCGTAAGAATTCACTTCACCACAATCCAAAATTTCAGGGTAGAATTTGGAATCCAAGCAGGAGTAGCTAAGAAGCAGAGTCAATAGGACTTTTCCTGGAGGTAAGAGATAAACTGAAAATAGTTTTTCCCAATCTTTTTAACTTCTGCACGTCAGAGGAGAAAAGGCCATGTTTTCCTAAAATGTGGAACGCAAGGCTTTACTTTCCACTTTCAATAAATGGACGAACCTCTCAGGAGAGGAAAGAGAAATCTTATTTTGCAGTTTCACCCCTCCCAATAATAATTCATATGACCTTGGAAAAGTGTGTGTTAACTGTTATAGCAGGATTAGATTCATCCAAAATGCTCACAAAATTACCTCTATAACCCCACCTTAATAATAACTACTTTAATTAAACTGGACAGAAGAAAGGTGATCACAACTGTACTCCTAAATCCAGGAGCACACGAAGAAAATGTGTATATCTGATCAAACACATTGATGTCCTTAAGCAAGTGTCACATAGATTATCGTATAAAATTTTATTTACAAATATTCCAGTTTAATGTAATTCGGGTGAATGACATATGATAACTAAATCGTTTGAAACAAAGTATTTCTTTCTTTCTCTCTCTCTCTCACAATCATACAAATCATTTAAGGTTCATAATGAAGATGATCGTACTCAGGATAGTGATTGGAAAATGGGAACAAATAGCTTCAAATGTTACGGGAGATGCATTAAGAAAACGTTCAATGCTTCCATCCTGATAAACATTCGTAATAACTTTGGGTTATCAACTGTCCCCTATTTCTGCAGGTTTTCAGTTAACAAATACACGTCAATGAAACGACGTGGCCTGTTCAGAATAAATGTCATGTCTTTAACTGGGAGGGGTTATAAGCTCCAACCAGTAACCGCACACACTGTAATGCTGGCCTTGTATGTTCAATACAGCCCAATGTTGCTTGGATGTGATGAAAGCCGGTAGCGAGACGAGAGCACCTCTTCACTGGGAGGGGGGAGACGGTATTTACATATAAACACTCGGCAGGTGGAGGCAGCTTTAGGCAAACCTATTCACATGACATTAGTTTAGAGAAACATGCCCGTGCAATAAAATATGATTGAAGGGGGCTGAATCGAACCTCAACTACTCAAGGCAGCTGTGGGTGAACCCACCGTTTGCGGTTAGATCTTGTAGCTGAGGCAATTGTGGCAGCATTTGTCATTTCACTGCTGTTCTTCCCTAGTACTGGTCACTTCGAGATATAATAAAAGCGATATTTCGAATTTTGCAATGTGTCTGATTTGATTTGAAGATACTTTTACACAAGGCGAGCGCAAAAGCAGTGGTTCCCATTGGAAATGTGTTTGCGCTGTCAGAGCCTCGAACACATTCACCGCTCTCACGAATGGAGAAATGGGTTTTGACGGTCTTATCCTAATTATATAGAGTTCGACACTGTTAGGGTCGAGAATGAATCTACCCAACTCACACTGAGATGGTTATAAATTTCTTATTGGCCTCAGGTTAGCGTTCGCTATAATCGGAAACTTTTTACTCATCGGTGTGTGGAGCGACGATACACGGCCGTTGTAGCTCCGGGCGATCACTGTTGCACATTTCAGACCAGACTCGGCTAAAACACAAGAGTGACACAGTTCAAATCTTTCAACCTGAGTCAAAATGCCCCTGTTTCTGACCTAGACACTACTTCCTCGGATGCTGAGTCCTGTTCCAGATGAATTTAAAATAGATGTTGCAATGGTCAAAATGTACATCAAAGTTAATTTTTGTTTCGTGTGCTAAACAATAAACAGCCTCATTCGGCAAGAAATATATGCCAGACTATGTTTCTGTTTCTCACATATAATCCCGTGTTAAAATAACGATTAGTTAAGTGGTTTTGAATTTAGAGCCATATCCTTCGGCCAATCTTTCCACCAATATCAGAAAACGAGTGATTTGCAGAAGTTCGGATTTCACTGGCAGTCTGCTTCTGGGTAGCAGTTGGATGAGACTTTCTCACAGTTATACCCAGTTGTGACAATATTATCAGCGCAATTTAGAATATTACTTTTCCTTTATCAGGGAGGAACCTTTGCATCCTCTGTGACTTGGTATTAAAATTGATTTCACTGGCAAACCAGATGAGACACAGCATACAGACATCAGCGACTTGTGGTGAACACACCAGATAATGTAAATACCTGCAGGTCTGGCGATACGTGTGGAGAGAGAAATAGAACTAATGTCTCAGATCAATAATCTTTCATCAGCTCTGAGCACCAGGCCCACTGAGTCTTGCCAGCGTTCGCTATACTTTTTATTTCAGGTTTTAGGCATCTGCAGAATCTGACTTTTGTAGCCCAGCAAAGTGACGGAAATAGTTGTGTCAGTGTGTGCTGAAACCCTTAAGATGTTGTCAAATGTCATTTTTTACCAAGGTGTTCATGAGCAATTCATATCTTAAATATCTCATGCAGAGTGCTTGAGAGGTTCTATAATCTATAGCGGAGAGGCAATGGCCTAGTGGACTTATCGCTGGACTGTTAATGCAGAGATCCAGGTAATGTTCTGCGGACCCAGATTCGAATCCACCATCCAAATATTTGGAATTAAGAGTCTAATGATGACCATGAATCAACTGTCAAAAAACCCATCTGGTTCACTAATGGACTTTAGGGAAGGAAACTGTCATCCTTACTACATATGACTCCAGTCCCACAACAATGTGGTTGACTTTAAACTGCCCTCTGAGCAATTAGGGATGGGCAATAAATGCTGCCTAGCCAGCAACACCCTCATCCTGTGAATGAATAAAACAAAATGGT